ATATCTTAGACTTTGCTTTGCTTTGTTTATTCGCACATACTATTTTCGAAAAAATAAATAAGAGGCTATTAGTTGAAGTGTTTTTCCTCCAAAACCATAACACTTCAATTTATGCATTAAAAGTTGATGCGGAACGCAGTCAAAAGCTTTTTCAAAATCTAGATAGAGCGCTGTTATATTTTTGGTCGTTTGGTCATCATAACTTAGTATAATTGATGTAAGTAAGCAAGGTGTTGGGTAATTGCTGAACGTTTTTTACGAAAACCATATTGAGAGTTATGAAGATGATGTCGCACTCTTTCATAAATGTAGTCAAATAAAACCTTTTCGAAAATTTTTGAGATGCAGCATAGTAAACTTATCGGTCTGTATCTTTTAATATCGCATTTGTTTCCATCTTTGAAGATTGGGACAACTTGACTTAATTTCTACGTTTCTGGAAATCTACCTTTATTCAAAAAAAGTTTGAAAAATTAGGAGGACTGATTTTGATACTGTTTTCGCTAAGTTTGTGTAGACAAGATTTCCCAAACTATCTGGACCTGTTGCTTTTTTGATGTCTAGTCTGAGCATTATTTTCTCAATGCAGTCTTTATTCATCTCGATGTGGTTGTATTTTGCTTTTTCAAAGATAATTAATTCGGTTATTTGTTGCGCTTTCGTAAATACACTACAGAAGAATTGATTAAGAGCATCGCGTTTTTCTTTGTCTGTCTCAAGTTCTTTGCCGTCAAGTTTCATTATCGAAGGTAGTCTAGGTGCTCTTCTTATGCTTCGCAAATACTTCTGAATTGTACTAAACTTTCTTGGTGCAAAAATCTCTAAATCGTAGTTTTTCAGATCTTTATCAGCAGAAGTTTTTATTTATTCTTGTAAGTTTGTAGTTTAAGATAGAATTTCTGGTTTCGGACAGGATTGCTGTTTCCGAAGTAAAGTTTCTTTGCACTTAAGAAGGTGGGAGGTTGGGGGTGTGATCAAAGGGGGGAGTGTGGCTGTATGTTCTGTTACTCTAGGTATATTTTCTTTCAGAATTCTCCAAAGCCAGGTGTACCAAAGATCAAGTAAAAAATCGCAGTTACTAAAGCAAAACAGTGTGAAGGGATTATTAATTATTGTAGTGTTGATTGCACTCCAATCTGCTCTTTTGAATGTATATTTTACTTTGTCATCACTTCTTGTTTCAATTAGCCTTTGGTTCAGATTGATTTCTGTTCTAAAGGCATTGTGATCACTGAGGTTCTTATTTTCTATTGAATACATTTTAAAAACATTTTCGTCAATGAATGAGTTAATGATTAGGGAGGGGTTGTTGACTAGGAAAACATCTAAGGTTTTTGCTTTTTCAGGTACCAATATTTGTTCAAAACTGTGATCAATTAAAGTTTTAAGGATTAGATCTTCCTCGGGATCATCCGATGCAATTGCTTTCCAGTCAGTTTTCGAAAAATTTATATCTCCAGTTATCATTATATTTTCACAGTTCAAGTGTTTAGCAGTTGCACTAATTTTGGTTAGAAATTCATCAATAGAAAAGGCTGTTGGTCTATGTGGGCTATCTTTTGGTGGGCAATAAACACAGCAAATGAGAGAGGATGTTTTTTCGAAATCAATTAGTCTCAATGTAACTTGTTCAATATTTGAGTTTATCGGTTCATGTTGATGTTTAAAGTTCTTTCTGATGGCAATTAAGACACCGCCATTATTCGTCTGGTAATTTTTGGATGGTCGATTACATCTGTATATTTCGAATTATGAAAAGAGTTTCGGATCTTACTTCATCAGTCAGCCATGTTTCAGTTAGGCATAAAATATCATGTATATTTGAAAGACAGATTGCATTTGCTAAACAAGTTCGCCGTGACATTTCTATTAAACTTCTTACATTAAAGGTGAGTATTGTTGATACCAGTTTTTGTTTTTGGGTTAGTCAGGCTGAATCTTCATTGCGTTTTACCTCTACCCAGGCGTTTTCAGTTTTTCTAATGAATTTTAGATTTCTTAGTCGCAGTTGTGTGCTCTCAAATTTTTCAGACTGATTGATATCACGTCTTGTTTTAAGCATGTTGTTTTCGATTTCTTGTTCATCGGGTGTTAGCTCTTTGCTTATGAATACTCTGTGTTTGTAGCTTTTGAGCTTGAGTAGAGAAAGAAGGATTCTTCGTTTCTCCCATGGCGCAGAGACTCTTAGAACTAACGGACGATTTTTATTTTCCGCGTATTTTCCGAGTCTAAGGAGATCAATTATTGGGCACTTGACGTTCATCACGTCAAGAAGATGAATCACTTTTTGCATATCTTCGTCTGCTCTTGACCTGGCGTCTGTTGCTTCTGACTCGGGTATGCCTCTTATGCGTAGGCCATCGTATTCTTTTTGGGATGCTTTCCCGTTTTTGGGTGTGGAATTTTTCGCTTCTGGCGCAACTTGTTTTTGTTGCGTTTCTGATTTGATTTCAATCATCGCTTCCTTGAGTTCTTTGATGCCTTCTTCGATTGTTTGTATTTTTGAGTGCTTTCATTCGCATGTTTAGTATCAATAATTACACCCTTTTAGTTATTTCCCACACATCTGTTACATAACAGAAGAACACTCTTGTTCAGTTGTTTCAATATTTTATGGCATTTTCTTCCAAGTCTGTACAGTTTATAGTCATGTGCATACTTTCGCCACATGACAAACAGTTATATACTGCGTCTCTTTTGTTTATGGGTTTTGAGCATGTTTTGCATCTTTTGTTATTTTCTAATTTAGAACTCATTTATTTGGGGCTGTTTGAATGGTTTTTTTTGGGGATATGTATTGTTGTGATTTACTATCGGGCTACCAGCTGGTAGCAGTATTTAGATGAGAAGTCTCCTCTCGCCGTGGAACCCGTTAGGAGTTCCGAGAGCTTGAGATGACTTAAAGATAGAAAAATTAGCAAGTCTATAACAGTGGAACCCGTATTGGGGTTCCGAGAGCTATAAACTTACTTAGAGAGGCTTGTAGGTTCCGCAATTGCACCACTGACTGCAGTGAAAAACTTCTGGGTGCTTGTCTCAGGATGTTTTCAAAGACCACTTTGATCGCAGAACGTTGTTTTTCAGGATTGCTCGAAGACCTCTCAGGGATTCTTGGGTTATGCGAACGTCGTCGTTTGCGATATCGGCTGCACAGTATATTTTCCGTTTAATACTTCTATAGACCCAAGTATCTCCTATGACCTCGCGCTGAATAACTTTGTCTACCTCGAGATGGCGATCTGTTATGTCGTTGGTCAATTTATCAACTCGTGGGGGGATGCCTAACACGTATACCCTTTCGCACAGATGGGATAGTTGTTTAGCAAGTTTTGCTAACTCTTTTTCAATGTCTTAGGGATCGCGTGCGGAGGGTTGGGTACCGTTGAAAGTGTCGTTTCCGCCAATAAATAAACAGCTTATTTCGTACTGACCTTTCGTTGGTAAATGATTCTGCACGTAAAAGATCCTACCACCAGGAATTGACAGAATGTTTAAGTTCGGAAGCACTAGTCTCCTCGCCTGTGAGACAGCAATCAATAAGTGTTTCGTCGTTGATGTTTTGAAGATGTGCGCTTTCATAACATACAGGGTCTTTTCTCTAAAAATCTCCCATTGGAGATACTCCACACAAGACCGATGCCATTTAACATGAATCAATTTAAAAAGCTCTTGTTCTTTCTTTTTGTTTTGTGAGCAATCATGCTGTCGATCATTTTCCTTTTATGAAAATTTAGTAAATAAATCCCTGTAAAGAAGGGTAATAAAGTCTCTTGTTGTTGGTGTCTCCGCATATTTGAAACGGTATGGTTTTGGGAAAACTACTATGTTTTTTCAAAATCTTTTGTTTAGAGCCAAGGGAACAAAAGCGCAGCTTAGTATAAGTATCGTAGTATAGACCCGTAGCCTCATTTCAGGTAAATATTTCTTTTTACTTCGGTTTATTTTGTGCAGGTGTTACTTTTCTCAATCAGGTTGGCTTGATTCCCAACCATCTGACTCTCTTTTTGTTTCTACTCACGTTATACTTTGCTCTTCCATATCTAGAAAATTCGTGGGATTTGACTGGATGTGATGCGGGGACTCCTGACTGAAACCCGGTTGCTATTGAAAAAGACTAAATTACAAAAGGGGCCCTTCCGTTTAGTTACGGTAAGTGCACAAGCTGGATAGGGCCATACCAGCGATATAAAAATGCATATATATCAGCAATGAAGTCATAAATCAGCATTTAATGCATCGTCGTAATGTTAATTTATCTTAGCCGTCCTTCCTCTACAATAGCGCTTATGAAGTTGTCGATAAATTGAGCTTTGCGTAGCGATCTGCACCCCCTTATACAAAGTATAGAGCTCCTCAGGAGCGCGAAGCTTATTTTAGTTCTTATGTAGTTTATAGATTCTGGATAGCTTTCTTGTCTTTTTTCACTTAGTTTTTCGGCCAATCGCTGCATCGTCCGCGTGGCTTTTGGAGCAGCGCCACCGGTGCATCCAAAAATAAGCGGGCAGAAGCTACTCTGCTCTACGTTTAAAATTATTTGCTGATATTTGGAGTTCTTCAGCTTTTCGTGGTATTTGTATGCATCCTTATGCAGTTTTCGCGATGTTTTTCGCAGAAAGATTGTTTGACAATCACTTTTACATCGAATAATCAGATCTCCGCAACAATGACTTTTGCTATAATACTTTTGACCTTCTGGTTACTTTAGAAAAAAAATAACCAAAATAGATCTTGTTTTTTTTTACTCTTGTGAATTTTTTCGAATAAGCGGCTTTCTTGTATTGTATTGAAAGTGCTGCGAAGCTCGCGCCACTGTGTATCGTTTTTCAATGGGTCATTGAGTTTTCAATATTTAATTGTGTGCCAGTTGTAGGTGTTAGATATTTGCAATTCTATGCAGAAGGCTGCTGTTGCATCACCACTGTAAACTCGTTGCGGAGATCTGATTATTCGATGTAAAAGTGATTGTAAAACAATCTTTCTGCGAAATAATCATGATTGCTATACCAAGCCGGGTATATTGTTCAAACGCGTTATAAGATAGTGCCTTGACTTTGACTACTTGATGTTTCTGAATGCTTGACTTCAGACAAATGATTACTGATACCACAATGGATTTTTGTGCAGTATTATTAGCCGCTGGAAAAGGGCATAAGCTCAAAGATCTGACAGAAAATTGTCCTAAATTTTTGCTACCCATTGCGAATCGACCGATGATATACTACCCCTTGAAAATATTGCTGAATGCAGGCTTTCGACAAATAGTTATCATAATTGCAGAAAAAGACACGAGAAAGCTGAAAGAAGCATTGAAGAGCCATCTGGATATGAGTGAAATTAACCGAATCAAAACTTGCATAATAAATGCCGAAGATGATCTTGGTACATTAGAAGCCATAGTTCATTACAAAGATTCAATTTTACCTGATACTACATCTCAACATTTGTGTGTTTTTTCATGCGACACCATTATCAACTTCGATATTCAACCACTATGTGATTTGAATAGGATTTATGACTGTCCAATAGCCTTGGCATTGAGCAAAAACAGTCTGAAGCAAAGCGAAGTTGTCAAAATAGGGCTTCGTTTGAAGTCTAAAAAGAAGTTTACAGATGTGGTCGGACTAAATGAATCGGAAGCAAAGATTTGTTTCTACCAGGCTGAAGAAGAAATCCAAGATCAAATTGTAATACCAAACATCTCACCTACCTCTAGAATCAAATTACTCACTCAACTCGTGGACCCGCATGTCTATATAATTTCGAAGCAGCTTTTAGATACGGTTTCTTTAGATGAGAAGCTGCGGGTTAATTTGACTCGGATAAAGTCGGAAGCAATTCCTTACATTGTGAGAAAAAGTGACCATAGTGGTGACAGTTTTGTGAGCGAAAAGGGCGATGCCACAAAAGGAGACGTAAGTAGTGATTGCGTTTTCAGTAAAGAGATTGCTTATACTGTTTTAACTCGCATAACTTTTTCTAACTACACTGGCCGGGAACATATGTCATATAATCAGGAACCAGGCTTTTTACAGTTATCAACTTCTAAGAAATTGAGTGCTGCTGATTCGAAAATCTATCTTTTATCTGTCTATCTATTATATATAAATATAAATAAAACTACTTATTTATATACTTGTTTGAGATACTTGTTTGAGATCCTTAAATATAGAAAAATCAGCTGTGTGCTGTCGCCCATTTTAGGGTTTTCTCTCCGAGTTCAAAATGCAAAGATCTGAACACAAGTAGTTTTGGAGTTAAGCCTATTTTAGTTTAAAAGTAACCTGAGTTGAAATTTTTTCATCGTTCTATTTTAAATATCATAAGCGTTGTTGGATGCACCTTCTATTGTTACTGTTGCATTCTGTTCGTTTTTTTTATTGTTATATATCAGAGTTTTCACCTAAATAATTTTGCTTGAAGCCATGGAGGTGCTTTAGGTGCTTGTTGTATATCTAAAGGCGGGCTTCACTATCTTGCCATGTTTAAGATTCTTCAACGTATTAATTCTGCATGTGACTGCAAGAATTTTTTCACGTTTAAGCTAAAGCGTATACTGCAAGGCTTAAGAAAATTTTTTCAAATTTCCAGTTTGAATTCATTGTTTGTTTCCCAGCATTTGAGTTTCTCATTCCTGAAAGTGGGTGCTGTCAGGTTACTGCAAGGGGTTGCAAATCTTGTCCCCAAATGTGACTGCCCTAATCTTTTCATTTTCCGAGATTTGACGTCTTGTATAATGGTTTTTACGAGGTTTAAAAAAAACAGTGATTTGACAAATTGCAAAAATTGAATATCGCGATCCTGTAGTTGGGTGCTGTCAGGGTAATGTCAAGGGATGCAAGTCTTGCCTTTGATGGTGGCTGCTCCAATCACTGTTGTTTCCGAGATATGACGTTTTATATATATTTTTAAGTGTTTCAAAAAACTTGAATTTGAAAAAATCTTCAAAAGTTTGAAATTTCCACCCCTATAGTGGAATGTTTTCATGGTACTATTAGAGTTTGCTTTTCTTTAATTCAGTTTTAACGGCTCAAGTTATCTTTTTGTTCGATAAAGGCCGTTTGTTCATGATTTTTCAAAAAAGTTTCAAGAAACTTAGGTTAAAAAAACTTCCTCAAGTTGAATTGCTCAACAGTGTGGTGAGGTGGTGTGAAAATACTCGCAGGTTTATTTTTAACCTCCGATCGACTGAAAAACACTTTTTTGCTCAATCTTGATACTGTTGCTCAAATTTTGTTAGTCGCAAAGTTCACGTTTTTCATGATGTTTTGAAAGCTTTCAGTCAACTAAGACTCAAACTAAGCAAAAGGAGTCTGATGTTACTCAAATAATTACGCTGGATTAAACGAATATTGGCACCAAATGATCTTTGGAGGGTCTATTGAATCTTGATTTTGCAAGTGAAATATTGAAATACATGAAAAGTCAACAAGATTGGTGCAACAGTAACAATCGACGGGGCATCCAGCAACGCTTTGAAAAACGAATTTGAAAAGCTCGAACGGTCTGATGTGCTTGCTGTTGCAGAAGACAAACAAATTTCTAAGGAGCTATACGAGAAATTTTTCTGCCTCAAAAATGATGTCCTTTTCTTTGAAATCATAAAATGAAAACAGTTGGAAACGTTTTTTTTCTTTTATTTTGACACAGTTTCTCAGTTATATTTGACTGTGCTTCAATCAGAGGAAACCAGGCTCGATGCTCGTAGTGAAATGCAAGTTTTATCTTTTCTTTTTTCATGTCTTTCTAATAAAGAAAGAAGGGAACTTCATATATTTTCGAGTTGGAAAGTTAAAATTTTACAGTCCTCACTGGATCACCTATTGGACAGGTTGAATTGATCGGAAAAAAGTTGGGATTGTTGAAGGCTATTAAACAAAAATCTTTTGTATCAACTTCTGTCTTTTTTGTCATTTAAATGACTTTATCGAAATCGATTTGTTTTTTAACTTCGCTTTTCGCTTTGTAACAAACGGTCAGTCCGTTTCAAGCGAGAACAATTCAGTGGTAAAGCAACTGATCATAACGCCAGCGAAATATGTTCGAGCGAGTCTCGGAGAAGAACATTCAATTTATTTTTATTTTTCTTAGCTCATCTAATTCTCATAAAAATGCCTCAATTCTGTTTTGAACGAATGAACTAAAAAAAGCTTTTATATACCGAGCAGGGACTTATTGAATATTTCAGTTCTAATGGTTTTTTTGATTTTTTCCATTGCTAAAAATGTTGACCTACAAAATGATGTTTTCGAATTTGGTTTTATTTTTGTTGTACTTGACGAAATCTCGCAGCTTCTGCGGCTCGGTAGTACTTGGGTGAAAACTGCTACAGAAAACAGAATGAAAAAACCAATTGCTTTCTTGCCATCGCATGAAAAAGTTAGCTTTCAATTACTCACAAGTCTCAAATGCGCAGACGACAAGAGCGAGCAAGTCTACAACAATAGGTCCGGCGATCGAACCCCGTAGTGAGCCAAACTGAAAACTTTTGACCAGCTTCACTTTTGCCTTTATCATTTATCCACGAGGGATAGGACCAACATACGAGCTGTACAGCCCATCACGGCGAACCGCTGTTGTGCCCCTGCTTAAGAACTACATGCAATTTTTTTTGTTCCTTTGTTGATTAAAATTGGCTTTTGCTTGAAAGTAACGTCCAGTCGCCTAAGGGCCAGGTACAGTGAGCGGAACTGACATTTCTTAAAGCTTCGTAGTTGAATACAGAGAATTGTGGTCAAATAATGCTTGTCATCAATGCAGCAAAACATAGCCTACCTCTTAAACAAGAGGCGCATATGGTTAGAGCGATATGCTAATTAAAGATAGGTCGGGTGTTCGAACCCCGCAGTTAGTGGATTGGAAATGGTTCAAAAAACTTTTATGATTAAAAACGAAGACAATCATGGCCAGCCAATTGGTGCAACATTAGCGCGATTTAGTCTTTTGGTCAATTTGGTTTTTCTTTTGTCATTGTTTGTTTGGACAGTAGTTGCACCAAGCTCTGCTTCCAAGAGTCTTCCTACCTCTCTATTTAATCACAATAAAGCAATGAATGGAGACTTATGTCTTAATTTATCCGAAGTTGAGATTTGATTTATCTAACGATTTTGTTAGACGCTTTGCTTGTTTTGATTTTGTCGAAAGAAGTGTTCTGATCTTTTCGCAGAGTTTTGTTTTATACGTAATCGGATGGACCTAGTGTTTGATAGGGTATTGGAAAAAGAACAAAAAATGGAATATTAATAAAATAATCGTGTTTATGTTTTTCTTCGAATAGCAAAACCAAGTTATGCAATTTTATTTTGTTTCATTTAAATTCTTTATGCTTATGAAATTTTGAAACATTGTTATGTACATTCCTGTGTTCATTTATCTTTTTCTGGCTATCTGTTGACTATTTTGTTTGATTGTTTTTCGGGTTCATTCAATGGTTGTCGGATTGCCAAATGTCTTCATCAGCAAGGGTAATGAAACTGGGTACGATTATTTTGCTGTTGAAAAACTTGTTCACAAGACGACTGAAATTGGTCATCTCTAATTTGAGTCATCGTATAATTTAAACACCTTTTTTGATTTTTAATACCTTTGTATGGTCATGGGGAAAATGCAAAACTAAATCTCAAAAGTAAACTGATTTTTCTCGGTTGTATGAATTTTGTCCCAGTATTTGTCATCTCACTTGCCGGGTGTTTTGTTTTTCAATAAGTTTTTCAGTATAATTTTTCCTATTTGGCAATTATAATTCCACGTGTGTAAATGTTTCAGAAGTTTTTTGGCTTTTTCATTGTGTAGATGTCATTTTTCTTGCGGCGGCATTGCTTCTAATTTTTTGCTCATTTCAAATCTTAGTTTCTGTGAACTTAGCGTCTGCATGCTTGTTGGGTTCGGACAGTTTTTTTGCCAATCGGTTCGTGTTTTTGGGCACTGCGAGTTGTTTCGATTTTAAAAACTATCCATAAATTTCCGAGAATTGAATTCAATTTTTTTTCCAAATTTTACCTCTGAATAGATTTTTGTTTAATAATTTTTTTACGCGATTAGCAAGCGCTTTTAAATCGGAACATAGCTTTTTTCTATTTTTAAACAACTTGTCTAACAGAATCACTCCGTCATTTTCTCAAATCTATTTTTTCGCCACCTGCTCAAAATTGCCGACAGTATTTCAAATACTTGTTCTGTTCAAAAATAAGTTTTTCAATTGGCTGTAAATTTGTTCAGATTGAGTTACGTTCCAGCTTTTTAAGTTTGTTCTTTTGGCTCCCCCTTTTGAACTCTAATTTACTTAATACCATACAATTTCACTCACTACTTGTTGTTGCCTTAGCAATTTCACCTTGCTACATTTTAAAATCATTTCTATAACTTAACATCGGTTTAATTCAAAATGAAAAGAAAACTTACTACAAATGGGGCTTCGGTAAACATCAAAAAATTAAAAGAAAGACATTTTTGCCATTAAAAGCCAGACAATTTTGCGCAAATTAATTCGCGTAAGTTCTGATCAGAAATGACCTTGCCAATGATTTCAATGAATCGTTCCAAACCGAAATGAATTGGCCTTGCCAATTTTTTCAATGAATCATTTCAAAATGAACCAAAAACAAGCAATAGTTCAATGAACTTCAAAAACCCGCAAATAATTAGACGGCTTTTGACTAATATGGCCTAATTTTCCAGTCATTTTCAGCCGGTATAGAAATTTGAAAAAGGTTTAACCAGGCCATAAGCCTAAAATTTATTCTTTTTTAGAATCATTCTGGAACTTAAACTTATAACCTGATCGCTTTGTCAGCTTTTTTGAACTGTTGGCTCATAAACGCAAAGCTTAAGGGTTTGCCAGCCTCTAGTCCCAACCTAGCATCCCGAAAATAAGGGCGATCGTCCTGGGATTAAATTGCTTAGGCACTAGTCAAGT